TGACTGACCTTCTGGAATGGATTAAGGGTGAAAACCAGGGTTTCATTGTACACTCAGATCACAATATAATAGAGGTACAGACATGTACCTCTATTATAGTGATCAGACAGGGCTCTTGACCAGCAAAATCAGATGAAGGTGTCTTCACAAAATTCAATTTCTATAACAAAAACATAATGGAAACAAGTCAACAATGTCCTAAATGAAACAAGCTGGGAAGATATCCTAAACAACACAGATCTAAGGGAAAAATAACATCCAGCATTGGGCCCTGGCTCAGGCAAGATGGGACATACACAGATGACAGCCAAGAAATGAGTGAGATACTAAAGTCCCAATACGACTCAGTGTTCAGCAAGCCGCTGCCCAGACTAAGGGTCAACAATCCAAATGAATTCTTTATGAACGAGACCCAAAATTTGGTCATCTCAAAAATCTTGGATATTATCCTGAGGTGAGTGGTGCACTTAGGAGTCTGTGGAGAACAAAGAACTTTGTCCTTGGAGGCAAAGAGGGGAATGTATGAGAGTATAGTTTTACCAACGCTCTTATATGGGTGTGAAGCATGGGTGATGAATGTTGCAGCGAGGAGAAGGCTGGAGGCAGTGGAGATGTCATGTCTGAGGGCAATGTGTGGTGTGAATATAATGCAGAGAATTCGTAGTTTGGAAGTTAGAAGGAGGTGCGGGATTACTAAAACTGTTGTTCAGAGGGCTGAGGAAGGGTTGTTGAGGTGGTTCGGACATGTAGAGAGAATGGAGCAAAACAGAATGACTTCAAGAGTGTATCAGTCTGTAGTGGAAGGAAGGGGGGTAGGGGTCGGCCTAGGAAAGGTTGGAGGGAGGGGGCTAAAGGAGGTTTTGTGTGCGAGGGGCTTGGACTTCCAGCAGGCATGCGTGAGCGTGTTTGATAGGAGTGAATGGAGACAAATGGTTTTTAATACTTGACGTGCTGTTGGAGTGTGAGCAAAGTAACATTTATGAAGGGGTTCAGGGAAACCGGCAGGCCGGACTTGAGTCCTGGAGATGGGAAGTACAGTGCCTGCACTCTGAAGGAGGGGTGTTAATGTTGCAGTTTAAAAACTGTAGTGTAAAGCACCCTTCTGGCAAGACAGTGATGGAGTGAATGATGGTGAAAGTTTTTCTTTTTCAGGCCACCCTGCCTTGGTGGGAATCAGCCAGTGTGATAATAAAAAAAATTATCCTAACACCACAAGACTTGGAAAAGGCAATAAATGACATGCCCATGCAATTTTCCCCAGGACCAGACTCATGGAACTCCGTGTTCATCACGAATTGCAAGAAGCCCCTGTTTCGTGCCTTCAGCATTCTACGGAGAGGGAGCATGGACACGGGTCATCTCACACTCACTAAAAATAACAGACATAGCCCCACTCTACAAAGGTAAAGCAATTGTAAAGAACTACAGACCGATAGTACTAACATCCCATATCATAAATATCTTTGAAAGGGTTCTAAGAAGCAAGATCGCCAACCACCTAGATACCCATCTGTTACACAACCCATGGCAATGCAGGTTTAGAGCAGGTCGTTCATGCCTGTCCCAACTACTGGATCACTATGACAAGGTCCTGGATGCTGTAGAGGATAAACAAAATACAGATGTAGTATACACAGACTTTGCACAAGCTTTCGACAAGTGTGACCATGGCGTAATAGCACACAATATGCCACAAAATGCGTGATAAAGGAATAACAGGAAAAGTTGGAAGATGGATCTATAACTTCCTGACAAAGAGAACATAAAGAGTAATAGTAAACAGAGTGAAGTCTGAGGCAGCTATGGTGAAAAGCTCTGTTCCAAAAGGCACAGCACTTGCTCCCATTCTATTCCTCATCATCATATCTGACACAGACAGACATGTAAGCCATAGTTCTGTGTCTTCCTTCGCTGAGAACACCCAGATAGCCATGACAGTGACCTCCATTGAAGACAACCGCAAGACTCTAAGCAGACATAAACCAAATCTTCAAATGAGCCACTCAAAACAGCATGAAGTTCAATGAAGAGAAATTTCAACTACTCAGATATAGAAAACTTAAGGAAATTAAAACTGTATCAGGGTATACGACAAATTCTAACCATACAATAGAGCGGAAAAGTAATGTGAAGGACCTGGGAGTGATAATGTCCAAGGATCTTGCCTTCAAAGACCACAACAGTGTATCTACTGCATCTGCTAAGAAAATAATAGGATGGATAATGAGAACCTTCAGAACCAGGGATGCCAAGCACATGATGATTATCTTCAAATCGCTTGTTCTCTCTAGGCTGGAATACTGCAGTACACTTTAAATCCCCCTTCAAGGTAGGGGATATTGCTGACCTGGAGAGTGTACAAAGAACTTTCACAGCACACATAAGTACGACAAGGCACCTAAATTACTGGGAACAATTGAAGGTCCTTGATCTGTATTCCCTGGGGTGCAGGCGACAGAGATATGTGATAATATACACTTGGAAAATCCTAAAGGGATTAGTACCAAACTTGCACACGAAAATCACTCCCTACAAAAGCTAAAGACTCGGCAGGAGATGCAACATTCCCCCAATGAAAAGCAGGGGTGCCACGAGTACACAGAGACAACACAATAAGTGTCTGGGGCCCAAGACTGTTCAACTGCCTCCTAGCATACATAAGGGGGATTACCAACACACCCATGGCAGTCTTCTAGAAGGCACTGGACAGGCACCTAAAGTCAGCACCTGACCAACCAGGCTGTGGTTCGTATGTCAGCTTGCATGCAGCCAGCAGTAACAGCCTGATTGATCAGACCCTGATCCACCACGAGGCCTGGTCTCAGACCGAGCCGCAGGGGCGTTGACCCCCAAAACCCTCTCCAGGTAAACTCCAGGTAAACTGAACAAAATGTGTAAAATAAAGGCTTGTTCTGCATCACCTATCTTGGTTGAAATATCATAATGACAAGAAATGGGAAGCTTCACAGTATAAATTATGATAATTATTAAATGGAAATTTATTCCTTATCTACAGTGACAAAATCAGATTTACAATATTACCAACAGAAGAAAATGTAGCAAACAAGGAGATATAATCAGGATTTATTCCCTCAAGGAAGTAGGAGCCTTGATACCAGTGAGGGGCTCTGCATCAAAGAAACAGAACTATTTTTCCATGGCTCAAAGAGTGAGTACCTCTCATTTCCCCAGGCACCGCATCAATTGTTTCAGTATATATGTAGTATATTTTTTTAGGGAAAAGTGCGAACTCCAAAGGGGTCATTCAGTGCTTGGGGAAATTGAAGGCAACAGGTTCAATCCAAGGAGGGTAAAGACAGATTTGAGCCATTAAATCCAGAACCATTCACTGGCATCAAGAAACCTTAACAGAAGGGATCCTGCTATAAGGTATCCTAAAATATATATATATATATATATTTTTTCCAAGAAATGACAATTTATTCTACATTTCACTATATCTGTAACTGTAATATTAATCACTCATACTCAATATATTTTTTTTTAACACACTGGCCATTTTCCAAAGACACAATACACAGAACTACATTACTAAATGCAAATAGATAGCAATTTGTAACAGCCTTTTAAGAAAATTTTCATCTCGATAAAAATATGAAACTTACATTGTGATGTACCATCATACACACTTACAGCAAATTACTGAATTACTAAAGTTGATTACTGTACCAAAATACTAAAATATCCAATATTCAGATAGAAAATATAATTCCCTAAATACATTTCAAACTTAAAACTTTCTTTTAACCTTTTGGTTATACCCAAGGATTGCTGGAATAAACATTGTCATATACATAAAAATATAACAATATTCAAATGAATTACTCTATATCATCACGAATCTTGCAAAGCCTGTGGCCATTCCCCGAAGATTTAGAATGCCTATTTTTCCTCCACTCTTTGCTTTATTTTTCTTTCTCTTATTGCCTTTTTTCTTTGTTTTTAAATTCATTGCTTTGATATTTTGCTTGTTATTACATTTTTTATTTCTTGCCTTTACATTTCTTGTCTTATTATTTTTCTTCACATTTCTTGTCTCATTATTTTTCTTCACATTTCTTGTCTCATTATTTTTCTTCGCATTTCTTGTCTTATTATTTTTCTTCACATTTCTTGTCTCATTATTTTTCTTCACATTTCTTGTCTCATTATTTTTCTTCACATTTCTTGTCTCATTATTTTTCTTCACATTTCTTGTCTCATTATTTTTCTTCACATTTCTTGTCTTATTACCTTTCTTCTTGATGTCATTTTTGTTTTTTGTGCCATTTTTCTTTTTATTCTTAATTGGATTCATATCAATGTTTCTTTCCTTTATAAATCTTTTAATTAACTTCCTATTATCCTTTACAAATTTTTTTACATTGTATCTGTGGGCATCATCATATTTGCAGTTTTCACGTAACATTTTCCAAACAGAACGTTCAAAGATATGATTTTCCATCTGTTTGTCTATCTGAAGTCGAATTACATTTTTCACCTTTTGAGGCTGTTTGTGCTTTAGTGCTGCAAGTGCTTTAGTTATTAAACCTTCCCTGTACCACTCTACTCTTTTTTGCAGCCCCTCTAGTTCTTCATCTGAATGATCTTCCTTCCTTCGAACATAGTAAGCTCTCATCAAAATTTTCTTCCACATTAAAGTTTCTCTCTCCTGTAACTCATGAATATGTTCGAATATGTGTTTTCTTTGTTTTGCCAGTATATTCTTAAGCGCATTCTTAAATGAAGGGTTCCTAACTACAGCTGAACTTTTAGGTTTTGTCTCTGTCAACACATCTCTCGCTAATACATCTGAAATACTTTTTTCACAATTCACTGCCATTTTACCATCTAATATAATACTTCCTTCGCTCCTTGATGAACTGCTAACATCTCCTGATGTAGTACTCAAACTTTTCACTTCAGTGTTCTTCTGTACTACTGCACTCTCACTTCTCAGTACAGTGCCACAAATCCTATCTATTTTGTCCTCTTTTAGTTGGCAATCATAAGTTCTTGCCAAATTTTTTTCCACTGTAAAAATGACACTCCTTTTCTTGAATACATTTGTTTACTGTAGTTTTATTAATATTGGCTTTTATATGTTTCTCATCGTCATACTTTAACTTACTGTCCATTTTCAATGTAATGGCTCTACCCTGAGCATGTGCCATTTTTTTCTGTGATATATTACTGACGAAATCGTAGGTCCTATATTGTTGTATGTCCTGGGCAACTTCAATGCTCTCTAAGCTCAATTTTTCCACCTCTTTCTCAGGCTCTAAAATTTGTGTTTGTTTTAAAACCTCAGCTATTTTCAATTGTTTAAGAGTACAATCAACTGCTCTGCACATCATTTCCTCCAATCTCAATATTTTTATCTGTGATGATTGTATCAAGGATGTGCGACCATTCAACCTGTGCCATTTTATCAGTGATTCATATTTAATAATGTCTTTTACATAGGTGTCCAATATAAACAAGTTGTTTTGAAAATTAAACAACACATATTGGTACAGATCCCATGCTGCCCTCATGCCCTGTACTGAGCTAAAATATGTTTTATTTGTCTTATTGACATAATATTCAAGAGTTTTCAAGAATTCTTCATGTTTTTCCTTGGATTCTTGTTCCTTCACTTCTTCTTCATACTGTAAAAAAAATATAAATAACAGCACATATGATAGGTTAAGAAAAATGACTGACACAGAATACATTTACAGTCTTCCACAATTATAGTGTATAAACATTTTACTGTAGTGTAAAGCACCCTTCTGGCAAGACAGTGATGGAGTGAATGATGGTGAAAGTTTTTCTTTTTCAGGCCACCCTGCCTTGGTGGGAATCGGCCAGTGTGATAATAAAAATAAAAAAACATTTTACATACAGTAAATCGTTATATTACCCAGTAGTTACATTCCTGAAAATGCTGTGTTAGGTATATCTGTGTTAGATAAACTGAAGAACTTAAAGGAAAAATAGTTACATTCCTGGGAACCCCAAAAAAGCCAAACAACTTATTTTTAGACCTCCAGATCTTAGAAAAATAAAAGTAAATGTGTAATTGTATGTAGATAAATTAGACACATGTGCAACTCTTGGGTATCTTTATTGAGGAAACGTTTCGCCACACAGTGGCTTCATCAGTCCATACAAAGGAGAATCGTGAAGAACAGGAGAAGAATGAGGTAATCAGTCCCTCAACCTTAAGTTGATGTGGTGAGTCCATCAATCTTGAATATAATACAGCATATGTGCCGAGAAGTGGCTTATATACCGTAGGCAGGAGAGGTGCAGCAGACGCAGGTGGTGTCACATTTGTTCAATGTGGAAGTAGGTAGTGCCCAAGGGTTAGGCAAGTGGAGAATTCCCAAGTACAGTGGACCCTCGACCAACAATATTAATCCGTTCCTGAGAGCTCATCGTTAATCAAAATTATCGTTAGTCAAGTTAATTTTCCCCATAAGAAATAATGGAAATCAAATTAACCCTTTCAGGGTCCAAGGCCCAAATTCTGGAGTCATGCACCAGTGTCCAAGAATTTTAAAAAAAAAAATTTGTTATTTTTTCTTATGGAATCGTAGAGAATCTTTTTGTGAAGGTAATAAAACAAAAAGTACGAAATTTGGTGGAAAATTGACGAAATTATGCTCTCGCGAATTTTGATGTGTCAGCGATATTTACGAATCGGCGATTTTGCCGACTTTGACTCCCATTTTAGGCCAATTACATTATTCCAATCAACCAAATTCTTAGCTATTTCACTAGTATTACTTCTATTCTATCGATTGAGCACAAGAAATCGCCAAGTCAACTGTTTCAACTACAAAATAAAGTGATCGGAAATTGTTAATTTGACTAATTTAACACAAAGTTCAAAATATTCCAATTTCAAAATAGGGTCCAGAATGAACAATGTAGGCATTCCTGGCACTAAACTAACATTTCCTCTGTTCATTAGTTATGTTTTGAGGCTTTACAAATAAATTCCATTTGATTTTTTATTCACATAATGAATTTTTATTCACACCAAAAAATAGAAGATTTACTGTTATGCAATACTGTAATAATTGTATAAATATCATCACCATATTTGTGAATGTATATTAGACCCACCAGCTGTCGTGTATTAGACATGTGAGGTCGTTTGTTTACTCTTGAATATCGGCAAAAATTTAACATTTCTGCTACTTTGAGCTCAGTTTCAAGCCATTTCCAGTGCTAAAACCAATCAAAATCATCTCTATTTCTGTAATATGTCTTCCATTCTATCAAATGAGACCAAGAAATCGCAAATACAACTATAAAAAACATACGAAAAAACACTGCAAAGTTGCTGTTTTAATCGAAAAATCATGATTTCATTTTTTTTCTCTCATTATACACAGTGTGCTGCAGGATCTGTTTTATGTGGTGCACACATACCACATAGATGTATTCTCTCATATCTAGGCCCAAATGTACCACTCACAGTTTATCAGAGTGAGCTGAGCTCATGGCGTAGATCTACGGTTTGGACCCTGAACGTAAAGCCGTAGATCTACGGGACGGACCCTGAAAGGGTTAATCTGTGCAAGACACCCAAAAGTATTGAAAAAAAAAAAATTTTACCATATGAAATATTAATTTTAATACACACAAACTGAAGAAGACATGTACAATTACATGACACTTACCTTTATTGAAGATCTGGTGATGATTGATGGGATGGGAGGAGGGGAGACTGTGGATGGTGTTAGTGTTTAGAAGGGGAATCCCCTTCCATTATGACTTGAGTTGTCAAGTCCTTTTCCGGGGTTACTTCCCTTCTTCTTTTAATGCCACTAGGGCCAGCTTGAGTGTCACTGGACCTCTGTCGCACAACATATCTGTCCATAGAGGCCTGTACCTCCCGTTCCTTTATGACATTCCTAAAGTGTTTCACAACATTGTCAGTGTCACAATTAAACACTTGCTCAGGTTTCAATTCTTCACTGTCTATGTACTCCTTGAATTCCCGCACATATTTTTCAGCTGCTTTTTGGTCCAAACTGGCAGCCTCACCATGCCTTATCACACTATGTATGCCACTACGATTCATAAATCTCTCAAACCAACCTTTGCTGGCCTTAAATTCACTCACATCACCACTAGTTGCTGGCATTTTTCTAATTAAATCCTCATGCAACTTCCTAGCCTTTTCACATATGATCGCTTGAGAGATGCTATCTCCTGCTATCTGTTTTTCGTTTATCCACACCAATAACAGTCTCTCAACATCTATCACTTGCGATCTCAGTTTTGAAAACATAGTTGCACCTTTGGCAAGAACAGCTTCCTTGATTGCCGTTTTCTTGGCCACGATAGTAGCGATGGTTGATCGGGGTTTTGTGTACAACCTGGCCAGCTCGGAGACACGCACTCCACTTTCATACTTAGCAATGATCTCTTTCTTCATATCCATAGTAATTCTCACCCTTTTTGCTGTAGGGTTGGCACTAAAAGCTTTCTTGGGGCCCATGGTGACTTATTTTGCAGGTGCAATCACTAAAAAGGCTGTGATAATATGAAATGTTCTGATTGTATGCTTGGAAGCGACCACGGTGGCTGGCTGGCTTGTAAACACTGGCCAGAAGTGGATGCGTCTCAGACAGAACGAATTGTGTTGGTCGAGGTTTTTAGTGCTAGTCGAGGCAAAATTTTTGCGTTAAAATGTATCGCTAGTCAGATTTAACGTTAGACAATGCCATCATTGGTCGAGGGTCCACTGTATTAACCCTTTGACTGTCGCGGCCGTATATATACGTCTTACGAGGTACCGTGTTTGACGTATACATACACATAAATTCTAGCGGCTTCAAATCAAGCAGGAGAAAGCTGGTAGGCCCACATGTGAGAGAATGGGTCTGTGTGGTCAGTGTGCACCATATAAAAAAAATCCTAGAGCACGCAGTGCATAATGAGAAAAAAAAAACTCCGACCGTTTTTTTTTTAATTAAAATGCCGATTTTGTGGTCTGTTTTCGTATGGTATTTATGGTTGTATTCTCGTTTTCTTGGTCTCATTTGATAGAATGGAAAACATATTATAGAAATAGAGGTGATTTTGATTGATTTTACTATAAAAAGAACCTAGAAATGGAGCTCAAAGTAGGGGAAATGTTTGATTTTTGCCAATGTTCAAAAGTAAACAAATGATGCTATTGTCCAATAAATGTCCAACTAGCCATTCTAATATGCAGTCATGAATGGGTTGATGTTATTTATACAATTATTACAGTATTGCAGTAGTCTGCATAATAGTAAGTCTTCTATATTTTGTTTGAATAAAAATTCAAAATAGAAAGCAAGAGTAATATCAGAGGGGCCTGGAGACATGACTGATGAGCAAAGAAAATGTTATTTTAGAGCCAGGAATGTCTGCATTGTTCATTCTGGACCTTATTTTGAAATTGTCATATTTTTTAGTTTTCGTGAAATTGGCCAAATTGCAAATTTCTGACCACATTATTAGGTAGTTGAAATCGGTAAATGGGCAGTTTCTTGTACTCAATCGATAGAAAAAATGGAGTTCTAAAGAAATAGCTATGAGTTTGGGCGACTGGAACAATGGAATTAGCCGAAAATAGGGCTTAAGGTGGGCGAAATTGCCGATTTGTAAACAGCACCGAGGTCGCTAACTTCGCGAGAGCATAATTCCGTCAGTTTTCCATCAAATTTCGTTTTTTTGGTGTCATTACAATCGGGAAAAGATTCTGTATCATTTCATAAGAAAAAATTATTTTTTTTTTTAAATTTTGCGACACCAGGAGACACCTCAGGATTGGGGGTTGCGACAGTCAAAGGGTTAAGATCCCAAGAAGTTGCAGTGTCAACTTCTGAGCAGTTTTCTTCAAAGTATTAGCAGGCAGTTGTGTTAGGTAGTTTTTTTTTTTTTTTTTTTCAACAAGTCGGCCGTCTCCCACTGAGGCAGTTATCCTATGTAAATGGTTGTGTGTCATCATTCCTTCCTTCCTACCTTCCTGTATTCTTTTACCTGGAGTTTACCTGGGGAGGGTTTCGGGGGCCAACGCCCCCGTGGCCCGGTCTGAAACCAGGCCTCATGGTGGATCAGGGTCTGCTCAACCAGGCTGTTACTGCTGGCCGCACGCAAGCTGACGTACGAATCACAGCCCGGTTGGTCACGTACTGACTTTAGGTGCCTGCCCAGTGCCTTCTTGAAGATAGCCAGGGTCTATTGGTAATCCTCCTTATGTACGCTGGGAGGCAATTGAACAGTCTTAGGCCCTGGACACTTATTGTGTTGTCTCTCAGTGTACTCATGGCACCCCTGCTTTTCATCGGGGGAATGCTGCATCTCCTGCCGAGTCTTTTGCTTTCATATGGGGTGATTTTCGTGTGCAGGTTTGGTACCAATCCCTCCAGGACCTTCCAAGTGTATATTATCATGTATCTCTCTCGCCTGCATTCGAGGGAACACAGATCAAGGACCTTCAACCATTCCCAGTAGTTTAGGTGCCTTATCGCACTTATGTGTGCCGTGAAAGTTCTTTATGCACTCTCCAGGTCTGCAATGTCGCCAGCCTTGAAGGGAGCCGTTAGTGTACAGCAGTATTCCAGCCTAGAGAGAACAAGCGATTTGAAGAGAATCATCATGGGCTTGGCATCCCTAG